TATCAGAATCTTGTGTTGACTACACTGTAGTTTTTATAAACTATGTTTAACTTCCCTGTTTGCATTATAGACCAGTATTTCCATCAGAAGTCCCAGGGACGAAAGATTTTGGTTTCCGCAATTCGTCAAAATCCATTTAGTTTACAATATATTTTTTTCTAACAAATTGTCCAAAATCTTATACCTGAAAAGATTATATATCAACGACGTCTTGTCAATAGATATATCCGAGTGAGTCTGATACATATATATCTGTAGCATATTTAAATAATTTACCTGAAATAGACTCAAATAGTAATTTAACAGTCAGGCTTTATAATAAACCTGATGACTAACTTTTCAATCGTCCACTTCCCTTACTATAACATGGGCGTCGGAAGCAAATTGAAAGTTGGGGGGGGGGGGTAAACCCACAGTAAAAGGTAAATCCCAATTTTCAATGCATATATAATGTCTATTTTTGTAAAAATAAAAAAAAAGAAAAAAAGAAAAGAAAGTGGAATGGGGCTAATTATAAGGCCCCACCACCACCTAGCCAACCCAGTTCCGACGCCTATCTATACAACTATCTACGTTCATCACCTGCATACGGAATTCATATCTCTCTGTTATACGGTTATAATCATTCAAAAACATTTTGACTGGCTGAAAAAGAAATTAACGACAAGCATATTTTTCTGATAAATCAAAATGGATAGCCGAATTTGGGAAATATTTCTGAATTTTAAAGTAAATACATAGACATAAAGTGAAAACATTTCCCAATTGAAATTAATCTGATCCTGATAGAAAATAATATTTTCCAGCGTTTCGTTAGTATAACCGAAAAATGTTGTAGTCCACACTTCATTTCACTATGCACCTTTATATATTAACACAACACAAGTTGACGCCAGGTTTATTATATTGAATATATTCAAATATAAAAACAAAGCAGTGTTGATATAACATTTTGCTAACAAACTAACGGGCGAAAACGCACACACACCCTCACACACACACACAAAACGGCTTTTAATAATGATGCAATGGAATCTAAGCCTCCTCTGCCGACCAGGAAAAACATCTAGATAAAAATATTTTGAAAAAAAATATAGAAACCTGTGTATACGCAGCAAATGCAGAGTAAGCAGAAAAATTGAGTGGCGAACCCTCACTCACATTTTAAACATCCAAACAGCTTATTCTTGATTTAAATAAAAAGATCATAAGTTCAACTATTGTATCTAGAAATAAACACGACTTGCTAGGGAAAGCGTGCGCTACATAGTGAACTCTTACTTACCACCCGTAGATACAATCGAACACGTTTCATTCGATGAAACCTACGTAATACCATATTTTTTGTATTTGTTTACATGTTGTCAGGAAATTTTTTTTTTTGCTTTATTCGTAACGCGAAAAAATGTAATTAATGACAAGACGTAATGAGGATTGGTCAGGAGGTGACCAATCCTTGTACTACACCAAGCTACATATATACTAGTCAAAATTTCTAAGTCCCCAGGCAAGTTTTTGCTTTACACCGCTCTTATGTTGAATTATTTAAACAGTATAATTTAATAAGTATACATGATAATAAAGTAGCAAAATAATTGTTCTCACTTTTATCAATTTTATTGAAGCGCTTTAACACAATATGCAGAAACATTTAGACTCCCTAGAATTAAAAATTCACAACGTTAAATACTGCATTATTCTCCATTCAAACGAATTCACAGCAAGACAACCGTTCCTCAAAGAGTTCACACAACTTAATAAAATTTCTTTTATTGAATTTTTTTCCATGTGGAGTCTAGGTCGTCCTCTAGTTCCGCTAGATTCTGCTGCTGGAAAAGCTGCCTCACACTCCGGTCTATCTTCTTCCAAACATGATAATTAGGGTTGAGATTAGGATGACAAGGGGGGTTATCGAAATTGTCTGTGCCATATCAACAATAGTTACATAACGTCTTCTTACATGTATTCCCCACTCCTCCAGTTTGACATTGAGGGGAGAGCACTTCCGGTTCCGGTTCTTTTGAATTTTCCGGATAAACTCTAGGATGATTTTGTGGTGTTTGTTGAAAATCTAGCGATTTCTAACGATTAAAATGAATTCAGGTTGGCTTTGTAGGTTTTCTGGGCGGTAATTATAAAGGTTTTAAGTAAAATAAAGTCATACAGTGAAAAAAAACAGAACTTTCGTTAACTTCGACCAGCTTGGGCCATTTCAACTTCACTTGCACATTATTGTGTGGACATACACTGCATTTTATTCAAGCTTTTTTTCTGTTTTTCGTTATCAATTAAAGATGGAGAACACATGAAAGTAAAAAATACGAAGAATACACCCGAAAATCATATGGAACTCGAACTTTTTAACAAATACGGTCACGGTCGAGTAATTACACATTCGATTACAATTTTTTTGGCTTTGACAGGTAAGTATTGCAACTTAAAGGCAAATTTGTAAGCAACTAGTAAATTGAAGCTAAGAATTTAAACTTTTTGAAAAAATAAAAGTGGGGACTTAGAAATTTTGACAAGTATACTATAGACTTGTAGCTCCTCAATAAAACGTCTGATGATCTTTATTTTGCTTGTCAAGGAAGTTTTGGTATGCAGATTCATACATTTTCACTGTACAAGGTATGAAAATTGATTTTGTTCGAATTCCTTAAAGAAAATGATAATTTACAACAAATATTTAATTTTTTTACGCAAAAAAATATTCTTGGATGTTTTCCTGACACCAGTGCTTCTTAAAATCACCTACGATATGTCTTAAGACAAGCTCGTAGTTGTCCTAAAGTTAGGACCAAGATTAAGAACTCTCCTAACTCAGCTATGTTAAGGAAGGTCAGAATTCACATTCCTTGTACATCGTATTGGAAGTTTAATTGTGACATCATTGAAATTTAACAAGCCTCAAAAATTAGTTAACGACATAATCATGCGTAAAAGAAAATATGAATACAGGCAGATAATAGCATGTTTATGAAGCTATCTCAGGACTAAGACATATCTTAAAACAAACTTACGACACACCTTAGTCTTAACTTTGGGCGTGGCTGTATCGAAGATCGATTGGTTTAAGTTTTCGCGGTTCTGTTGGTGAAAATCATGTTAGGCATGTATCTTCGTCGTATTAGGTTGTATTAAAGGGTTTTAAGTAATTCAAAGTTTCTCTGCCTTAAGTGTTTGTTCCCGTTTTGCACACGTATGAATTTCAGGCATAGACAATGTGTGCAAAATGGGCATTTGACCAGGTGAGATAATTACTTAATTGGTATAGTTGGTACCATTGTTGGTAGATATGGGTGAGGTGAACATATTTGGTTAAGAACAGAAATTATTATGTGCATTACAAGTTTTCATTTATTTCTTTAGTTTTATAACAAAACAGAAATTTATATTAAATAATTATTCAAGCATAGTAATCCTATAAAAGTTAAACTTTCCACAAAAATGTGCCCTAGTAAATATTGATGACCCACATTTTATCGTTAAAATATTCCTTGTTCTTAGGGTTTTTATTAAAAAACAACTTATCAGACTCGCTTTAGAGATTTACAAAAAAGAAAAAGAAAAGGAAGCTCTTTATTTTGATTGTAAAAAATAACAAACAAAGAGATTTTGTCTACGGAAATGTAAATTTAAAAAATTCTTAAAATAAATACAAGTATTTTTTTTATCTGAAAGGAAGCCAGAGGAAATATGGCTATATCGGTAATGTGTTCACACAGTAACGGAAGAAGGTTCAAGGGGACACTATGAGTGGATTACTCTTCCTCACAAGGAAGTGACTGTTACTGAGATTCAAATTCTAATTAATTTTTTTTTTAGAAAATATAAACAAAAATATAAAGAAACAAGAGGCCCAAGGGCCACAGCGCTCACCTGAGCACATCGGCTAGGAAAAAGCACATATCAGATCAGAACTGAATATTTACAGAGGGGGTAGGGGGGTGGGGCTTGAATTTTAACTTCCAGGGGGTCATGATTTGAACAAACAAGAATCTACACTACAGGATGATTCCATATAAATATCACTAATCATGGCTTTGAAGTACATGTACTAAAAAAGAAGAGTTTAAAAGGTTTCCCTATATATTCCTATGTAAAACTTTGAAGGGCCATTATGGCCCTGCCCTAGCCCCGGGGGTCATAATTTGAACAAACTTGAATGTCCACTTCCTGAGGATGATTCCACACAAGTTTCACCTTTCCTGGCCAAGTTGTTCTTGAGAAGAGATTTTTAAAGATTTTTCCTATATATTCCTAGTATGTAAAAATTTGATCAGCCAGTTTGGCCCCACCCTAGCCCTGGGGGTCATGATTTGAACAAACTTGAATCTCCACTACCTGAGAATGATTCCACATGACTTTCATCTTTCCTGGTCCAGTGGTTCTTGAGAAGAAGATTTTTAAAGATTTTCCCTATATATTCCTATGTAAAACCTTGATCGACCATTTTGGCCCCACCCTAACCCCGGGGGTCATGATTTGAACAAACTTGAATCTCCACTACCTGAGCATGATTCCACATGAGTTTCATCTTTCATGGCCTATTGGTTCGTGAGAAGAAGATTTTTTAAAAGTGCCATTAATTTTTCTCTAATTCATAATTATCTCTCCTTGGAAAAGGGCATGGCCCTTCATTTGAACAAACTTGAATTCCCTTTACCAAAGGATACTTTGTAGAAAGTTTGGTTTAAATTGGCACAGTGGTTCTTGAGAAGAAGATGAAAATGTGAAATGTTAACGACAATAACGACGACGACAACAACGACAACAACGACGACGACAGACAACGGACAAATTTTGATCAGAAAAGCTCACTTGAGCCTTCAGCTCAGGTGAGCTAAAAAAACTCTTTTCGGTGTTAGATAAATTGCATTCAAGTATGTTATATAATAAATGATCTGCATACAAAATGCGTTTTTACATGTCTTTGTATTTTGACGGTGGTTTGCATTGATAAAAAGCTAAATAATAGTTAGTTACGACGGAAATGGCTCACCGTATGAAGCATATTCGTTAGATGTTTTTAACTTCCTTGTCAGAAAGAAGGTGTTTATAAACAAAGCAATGTGGACTCTTAAATTGCATTCGATGCTTTTAATGGGGATTACTCTCTCTTCTGGATACAGTATGTACATCAAAATGCCATTTAAAATCTATTTTTTTTTAATCTTATATATCTCCTTTCCTTTTGTTTTTTCCTTTATTTGTTTATGCTTAATCATAATGTGCATATCTTCATTTCATTCGTCATACGTATGAAATATTACAAATATATACAACTGTGAAAATTATTATGCCCCCTTCGAGGAAAGGAAAATCATGTTGCTTTGCTGTTGCCTGCCTGTCTGTCTGTCTGTCTGTCTTTGGGTTTACCATTAGTTTTCGTTCATTTTCTTCGCAGAGATTGCACATATTGAAATGAAATTCCGTACATACATGTATTTATCATAAGAATTTCTAGGTCAAGTACGGTATTAGGTACTATTGTAATTGCTATTGTGGACTAATTATACCTTGTCAGCAGATACAATTTATCATTGAGTCAAATGCTGACTGACGTTTTTCATACCAATTGTTAGTCCATTATTTATACACTGAATTGATAACGGATTTTTTTACGTTATTTCCTGATCATGGCAACGAGCACACTGTGGGTGTGACCGGTCGGCAGGGGATGCTCACTCCTCCATGGCACCTGATCCCACCTCTGATGTTTCGGAGGTACGTGTTTGCTCTGCTCTTATTTTGTATATTGTTTAATGGACTTTGAGGTTGAATACTGTTCGTTATCTCCATATCCTTTTTTTCTGGACTTAAAAAAAATCCAATAATTTGCAGTTTCCGTTTATTTATTTTGCTATGATTATGTGTTATAAGGGTTTTTAAATGACAAATTATTAATTTTGAATATATCTTTTTATAATTGATTATTACTTTTGGGTCTTGTTTGACATCTGTAGTTGAAAGTTAATTGTTTTCATTTGATGTTTAAGAAAGGCATTTTTGTACATGTTAGCAATATCTGATTTTTGACATCTTTTTCCTGTCTCACGATATCAATGTCATTTACTCATACTTGTTTTCAAATTTATGATTAGATCTTATGATCGTGTTCTTTGAATTTGTTATGCTTAGCTCTACCTAATTTCAGTGTTGTAAATTACATCATACAGTTTTTCCCTGTTCATGCAACTTTCTATCTTTAATTTAATTGGCTGGTCAGTACGAATGTGGGCGGATTTGTCAAAGATTAGATGTGATTGAGTTTGTAAGTGAGTCTATCTTAAGAAATTCTTTGTAAAATTCAGTTTGTTCCATCTACGAAATTTGTTCTAATTTATATTTGTGAAATTCATATTTTTGGACTTACAATAAATTCTAAACTCTAAAAACCGACTTATCAATTGACAATTTATTACAATTTTATTTCATTTATTTGCAGAGGTTGCACATATTAAAATGAAATTTTGTAAACAAAGAACTAAATGCCGTATATTGCATATCTTTGCCCCCACAAAATTCAAATTTTGAAAAATTCTTAAAATGTGCTGAATTTTATAAATTGTATGAGAAATATAAATTAACAGATCATATTATAGTTTCAAAGTAGTTTATTGACAATTTTTTTTGTTTATATGAAGTCACAAACTAGTTCGATTTTATGTCATTTTTTAGATAGAGGAAAAATAGACAAAATTTCAACAATTTTAGCGTTAAAATTTATAGTCAAAGAGCGCGAGTTTGCTCAGGAACAATACTTACATATTTCATTGATAGTATCATTCTACACATAATATCAAAATATTGAGACTGATCAGATCTGCGCTCGGTGACTTTTACTCAAAATATTGACATAAATAAACATTTTTCTGTACAAATCATGGAAATTTTAAATTTACGTAATTTTCGTGACGTCATTTCAAAAATATAACGTCATTGCTAATGAAAATATTCAGTGTTTCGAAGTAAGCATATATTTCTCTGTTTCAGAACATAATTAAATATTTCTCCGTCAAAGTTTGATTTTGGGGGCAAATATTGGTTATTACCAAATAAAGTTCTTTATTTTAAGGTCAAGTTCAGTTTTGGGTACGATAGAGCTATTTTTGACAGAGGTATGCCCATTAGACTTTAAAACATCCAATTATTTGAATTGGGGAAGGGTAGGGCATGTGTTTTACAAACATCCCTTGTGAATAGTAAATGTTTACTCTCTTTATAGGGGAATAAGACGCCAAAAGCGAAATTAATTGTCAATTTATTAGACGTGTATATTTTTTTGTTAATTATTGCAGCTTTTTTTCCTTTATAAAATAATAATTGAATTATTGTTTGCGATTTATTACATTTTACTGCATGTATAATTTAACGGATTTGGAATTTTAACAATATCTTTTTGTGTTTTTGAATATAAAATTTCAAACTGCTCTCAGTAAAAACGATTGGTTGTATATTGTTTAATGCATCTCTCGAGAATTTTTCACTCCTATGGAACGCCACCACTTGCCGGTGTATATCTGCAAATTTTATCCTATACTCAGCATTCAGGGCCATTGAGAAAGGAGGGATCTTTTTTGTGCCAGAACCTACTGCGACACGGGACCTCAGTTTATACTTTCTCACCCAAATGACTTTGTAAAAAGAAAATGAATGGGGAAAATTTGGGATTTTGTAATGAAAAATACCCTTTCTGTGCAGCATTATAAAAATCAATAAATTTTAATTCAATATTTAATACAAAAAATTCTTAAAGCAATGAAGTAACCGATAAAGTATTAAAAAAAAAAAGAATCAATTGCACGTGTATATGTTTTCTTTTATACTGAAAATAATTTTTAAAATTTAAATGTGAAAAATTCTATTTTTTTATCCGTCTTGCACAAATTATTTCACCAGATCCATATCTCAAATTATCTTCATCTGCTGAAAAAGAGCAATCTATCTCTGGAAAATTGTACAGACCCTAAACCGTGCTACTACACCACTTGCACGGTACGGTTCGGTACGCTTTGTGAACGGAACGGTTCGCTTTGTGAACGGTACGGTACGCTTTGTGCACGGAACGGTTCGCTTTGTGCACGGAACGGTACGCTTTGTGCACGGAACGGTACGCTTTGTGGACGATACGGTTCGCTTCATGCACGGAACGGTACGCTTTGTGGACGGTACGGTTCGCTTCTTGCACGGAACGGTACGCTTTGTGGACGGTACGCTTTGGGAAACGGTATGCAAATGAAGTGGGCGGAGCCTGTTAGCTTTGGTCCGTGATTGGCTGCTAATTTTACAATTTTATTTCCGTTATTACAGAATGTAATTTATTTATTATTCATATCAATTGAAGTATCAATGAGTTTCTATTTATTAGAGAAGTTTAAATGTTTTATTACATGTATGTTATTTTTTCGATCATAGTCTTGTATGCTATGTCTCGGTTTCAATTTTAAATATTAATTTACACTGCAGCAGTAATGGAGGAAATAAGAAAAAAAATGAAAGGAAATAAACATCGTCCCACTGATCTTTTTCGCATTTGTAAATATATTGATATATAGAAGGTAAATATTTCCATGCGTATTTTTTTTACGTATTTCGAGGCTGCGTTTTAAATAGAAAAAAATTTATACATGTACATATTTTTTTTTTCATTTTAAAATAAAGCTTTAACAAAACTGAATATATACTTGTTCTTTATATAATACTACACACGTATATAAATTATTTTTAATTGATTGATCTATAGAAAAAATATGACTATTCGCGCTTATATTTTTATTCTTAGTAATAAGAAATGTACATTTTCTTATTTTTAGAATTGTAGATCTGTCGTTTAAACATCTGCCTTAGAAGAGAAATATCAGTAAACAAAAAACAAATTACCTGTAATTAATAAAAAAAAAATTAAAAGAAAAAGAATATAAAAATAATTTACAGGGCATAGAAGACTTGTTTGTCTGTTTTTTTTTTTCTTATGTAAATCTTTAATTATTCTGAAAATCTTTGATTATTCTGAATTTACATGTAGATACGAAAATCGGCAGCAGAAACTCGGAATCAATAAAATGACTTCCGGGCGTTTTTCTCGTAACAGAAAACATTTCTTTTCAGAAACTAGCATTATGTTTTCAAAAATCCTCTCACTCTAAGTAATTATTTTAATAATGTTGTGAGATGTGTATTGTTTTATTATGTATATAATTAGTAACATTAAGTTTCTTGAACCTTCCAGAGTGGTCAACATGTTTGGTCATTTTATCTAGAACATTCTTAAATTTTGTGTATGTCCAGATTGTTCCAGTAATATCATGTTTTAACAATTTCTAGAATATTCTAGATTTATGATACTGTATAAATACCCTGTCAATTCGATGCATATACAATAATTGTGAATACTTTGTCGTATAAGCACTATTGAGATATAACTGGGATATATTTTCATTGGGACATTGTGTGCAGCAACGGACACTCTGATGTATGTATTCTTAGATTCTTGCTAAGTTTGTACTTTATGTTTCATATACTTATTATATATTACTGTAAATAAATTATTGTTAAGTTTAAATTGTGTTATTGATCTTTGCTGGCATTTCGGGTAATTCTGACCCATAACAGAATTGGGGGCTCGTTCGGGATAAAGAATTTCTTGCACTTTTGCAGTTTATTGTCAGAATTTTGTTTATTGAACCGTTAAATTTGACTATAAGCCAGCAAAAATCAACATGGTGTTTTCGGTCACAGACTTTCTTAGTTCACCAAGTGTTCAGGTTTTTGATACGTTAAAAAAGGATGACTTGATCGCATTAGGTTTGCATTTTGGGTTAGATGTTAAATCCTCTCAGAGAAAGCAAGACATTAGAATTAAGGTTGCAAACAAACTAGTAGAAGAAAACATCTTTGAAAAATACGATCTTCCAGAATATACAGTTAAATCAGAGTTAGGCTCTTACAAAATGGCAGAATATCAGTTTCAATTAGAGTTAGAGAAAATGCGATTAGAAAGAGAAAAATTAGAAAAAGAAGATCGAGAAAAAGAAAGAGAAGAGCGAGAAAGAGAAAGAGTAGAACGAGAGCGTGAACGAAAATTTGAATTAGACAAATTAGCAGCAGAAAGAGAAGAGCGTGCAATGA